ATATTGTTCCTGAAGAGCGATACACCTCACTGTCTCAAAAAAAAAAAAAGGAAAGAAAGAATAAGAAATGTACAAAGTATTTTTACTTTTTGTTTTAACTTTTAGCTACTTATGCTATTTCTTAGTACTAATTAGAGGATACCTTCCCCTTTTTCAATGTTAAGTATCAGTCTAGTATGGTAAGACCTTTGGCAACTTACTGTCCTCGTCTGTGGTGATAATGATTGGGTCGCTGGCATTTCCGTCTCCCTTTACAGTAGATGCAAAAACCAGGATACTATAGTTTGTGTATTCCTCCAAACCCCTCAATGTGACGTGGGTGGTTTGAGGACTCACTATGGCCGTTCGTGAAATGCCTCCTGGTAACGCAGTATAAGTCATCGTGTAACTCAGTATAATTCCATTTTGATCAGCCACAGGAACGCTGTCCCAATCTACCCAAATACTGGTTGAGCTTGTGTTGTGTCCTTGGACATTAACTGGTGGTGCGTTTGGTTCTACAAGAAGAAAAATGCATCTTCGCACATCCAGCTTTCCAGTCAATTTTGTTTCGCGCAGAATGGTTAGTGTGATATTGTTCACAAAAAGTGATGCATCCTACATCTGTAACCCTCAGACGTACAAGGGGAGACACCCCCCGCCCAAAAGGTATTTCTGAGTTTTTTCCTAGATGACAAAACATGAGCACCTGACGTTTTCAGTAGCCTTGTCGTTCATCCCTCACGCAGATTTGAGACAAGTTTACTTATGGTCAGTTGTTATGGTTAGGAGATTTGACGTCATAAGTAGGAGGTGGTCAGGCCAATTTTGGGTGAAAATACAGGTTTTGTCAACTTCTTTCAACAATAAAAGTAAATCTTGTGGCTAAAATCGTGCAAAGTGCTTATTTAAATCATGCAAAGTGCTCATTTATGTGATATTTTTCATGTAAAGCACAAAAAATTGCCATTTCTTGCGGTTTTAACCTGTTTTCTAATTTTTTTTTTTTAAATCCAGGTTGGCTGCCAAGATGCCACCATTGTTAGTGACGTCACAGGCCTCTAGCAGCACCACCACCCATAAAATATGCCTCGTCTTTTTAAGAAGATCAAAGGCTTTCCACTAAAGGTAGAATCGTTTCAAAATGCTGCAACATATCACAACCTCCGGGGAGGGGTTCCATCCACCCCCCCCCCCCCTTGTTAGGGGCGAGAAGAGGAGTCTGCAGCCTATTCTTCGTCAACGGTACTTTATGAACTGTATAGCGAGGTTTTTCCCGAATCTGTCCACATTCTTGGAATGCTCGTGTTTTACCGACTAATATGCGTGGTATGTGTCCGCGAAGGCCGTGGTGTCGATTTTAATTAAGACCCGTCTGATGTCACAATAATCACGTGAATGAACATGAAAGTGATGCAACAATCATTGTTTGATTCGCAAGCACAGGTAATTCAGGTACACAAGTACTCTACCAAATATGAGACTTTTCGATTCGCCTTGCTGGCTGGAAATCCATTTACCCATAAACATGACAGTAGTGCGTGATCTCAGCTTAGTGGAGTACTTTTCGGTAAGATACAAGTGTTAGCAAAATCTAGAGATCGATGTAAATGAAGTTTTTTCGGGTTTCACTTCAGTGCATGTTTTTTATATTTTTTTTACGCTTTTAGCATGTTACGTCGCTTTTCATGCGCAAGCTTCAATGAGTTTTAATCTCCAGTGGTAATTTAAGCCGTTTCATGATTTTCTATTGCATATCAACGGCCTTTGTTCATTGAACACAGTTTGAATATTCGATTGAATAAAACGACTTGGTGCAGTCATGACTGTTGTATACACTCATTACTTGTGTCACGCATCACTGTTTCATTGTTTCTTTGCCTGTGAATACAGCCGTCTCTCCTCACTCCTCACCGTCCGCAGGCTTAGTATATCTAAGCAACTGTGAGTACTGTGAATACAGTTTTTAAAGAGGCCATGCCGATATTTTTCAATCGCTTTAAAAGTGGTTTTATCCTTGTCTGATCGCTATAAAAATTTCACCAATGATTGACTACGGATTGAAATGTGTCAAAATGTAGGTTTTAGTAAAATCGATATTACTATGACAACAATAAACAAACAATTTTGAAATTGATAAACACTTAATTTTGCGCGATCTAGACCACCTACTGAAAGTCCAACACCGGGGACTTGAAGTTTGGTGTGTAGCAAATAACCTTCGTAAAAAGTAAAAAGTTCTGTATGTTTGAATTCGACTAAAAAGAAAATTTATTTCAAACCTTAAATTTCAATAGCCGTGATGGATTAATTAACAAAAACGTTATAAACGACTCAAATTAGTCTTAAGTAGCGTTGGAATGCTGCTTAATATCATATTTTGCTGCTAGGAAATTTTGGTGTATTTTTGTTCATGCGATCTTAAAAACTAACCCGTTTTCTCACCACCTGTCTAAGTGTAACTTCATTCAAAATTTGGACTTTTAGCGCTTTGTTGTATATCTCTGAAACGGCTCGTAAGAAAGTTTTTTAAAATCCCTTCACATAATCTTCATAATTTATATAATGTCTGAAACTTTCATTAAGATTGATTCACTGCAACACCTTGACATTTCAGGAAACAAACCTATCCTACGAGCCGGACAAAAATCCGCGCCACAACATTTACTGTTCTTACGTTATGCTATTTTTCCAAATTAATGCGGACAATACATTCCTCCATGCCTAGTACATTTCAGTGTGAGTATTGTTAATGTCTTACATTCAAAAGATGCGATAACTTCAAAATAAAATGTACTAGTCATGAAGGTATATATTGTCAGCATTAATTTGGAAAAATTAGCATAACGTTAAAACGGTGAATGTTGTAGCGTGGATTTTGAATGAAGTTGCACTTAGACAGGTGGTGAGAAAACGGGTTAGTTTTTAAGGGCCTGTTTACATGGAGGTGGGGGACCCAATATAGGTGAAATAACGTGCGGCAGGTTACCCCAAATATCATGTAAACGTGATCAAATGTGACCCTCCACAGGAATTTGATGCTAAAGGTGAAAGCACGCTCACGACACGCTTGCACGACACGCTTAGCGTGCCGTAGATCACGGATATGCGCATATTAAATTGAAAAAACAAAGACGGACACACTTGCCTTTGTTTTGGTAAATTTAACACGCTAGACCTTTTGTTTTTTTGTAGCGTGCAATATGTCACCGTAAGTGTGCGAATTATAGCACGCTTAGCGTGCAATTTGGGCAAGACACGCTGAACACGCTTGGTTACTAAAACTGCTAAGATGATAAAAATGGCTTGGGTTTTCAGCGGACTTAATCACCATTGATAACTGGTCGAAGTGAATCAAATATACCAATTGAGACTGTTTTGGAATTTGATCGTAGCCGTAGCCATTTGAAAATCACCACTTAATGGTCGTCTAGCCTGTGATTAACAGTATAAACCAATTCCTCCGGCTGTCGGCTGTTGACCGGAATCGCAAAGAGGCCTGCTATCGCATGCGAGGCACTGAAGTTATGTCGCCTGAAAATTATAGTTATGCCACCGGAATATTTATTAGCAGTAATGCACAGAGAAATGAAGTTGAATAAATTAGTTTAATATATTTCTTTAAGCCAGGCTGAGACGAACGAAGTTAATTAAATCGGAGAAACAAAAACTGCCTAGAATTTTCTATATGTTGAGGAAGGCTAAACATTTCTAGATGACCGTTCCATGCATATACAATTTTCGAAGCTTCTCTAATAAATTTCTTACGATTTTCTGAAGTTGAATTTTTTACCATTTCACTGCCCAGGTCAAGCTATTTTTCGTTGAGAATTAAGGAATCCTAAAATTTTCGGAACCGAAAATACGATAAATTCTCACTTTCCTAAATCTTTCAATTGGAAGCTAAATTTTTCGGGAAAATAATGCTGAAGCCCTTGTAATTTCGAGAAGACTGAAGTTGTTCTAGGATGCTAGGATACATTTAGGAGGAGATCATCGTTAGGTGCCCCTGATGAACGAAGCGTTATCAATCATAATTTATGGGAAGATATCTCGTTACGCTATGCTAAGACGGATCAAGCGCTGTAAACGTGTACTATATCTCGTTCTTCACAGGACGAAAAAAACAAGAATCTGTAAACTAAAAACACTGTAGAATACAAGAATCCGTTGCGAGAAACACAGAGGCAAACATGTTTCCGTTAGCGGGTACATCCTGGTAAGCCCGTTTTTCCATATTTCCGTCCCTGCGTTCATAACAGACGAAACAATAACGATAATTCAGTACTACTATAGAATATATTTCGTTTTTTTTTTTTTTAACTTTGATGAGACCACGAAACAAGCGCGATAAGTCTCAGGTAATACCATGCTAGGACATGAGTGAGGATAGCGGGGAACTTTTCTGTGAATTTTGGGCGACAAAACTCATATTATCAGGTTTTGGACGACATAACTTCAAACGACATCACTTTCGAGCAGCTTGACAGTCACTCCTTTAGATCGAGCTCGATGAATAAATTCAATGACCGAACTTTATCGAACAAATAATTTCCTTCAAGAATTTCACTAGGACTACTTTTAATTTGGTTCTTTTTATCTTTTCTCAGTGTGTGATGTAATTCTCGGATCGAGCTTTAGTACTCTAAACACGCCGTGTTATCGTGGCAAAAACAAAGAATCAAACAAAAAAGCACCATACAATTTCGGAATTCTGTTTAAAAAAGACACTTTTTTTGTTTACTAATCAAAAAGCGGTAAAACAGTCATTAATTAATTGATGCTTGTCTCCCTTGCACGCATCACTGACGCATGAATGTGTTATCAATCGTTTCTTGAGTACAGAAACAGTTCATCAGTTACGATGGAGCGTTCACGAAATGTCACATCGATGCGTTTAAATTCGCAAGATTTTGAAAGTTTGGAAAGCGTCGAAGAACTATATATTGGTGAGCGAGAAACTGAAGAAAATCAAGAGCCAGAAAATTTCTTTCTAAAAGAGAGCAGCTCAGAAAGTGAAAATGAAAAGGAACTCATGTATCGAGATGGGAGAAGCTGGGTTATTGGAGAAAGAAAAGATTGAAAAATTCATGGCGGATACTTGCAAGTGTAAGTTAGAAGAACAAAGAGAGGCTTGTAGCACTATCCTCTCAAGAGATGACTTTTATGACAGTCGGAACAACTGCCAGGAGTTGTCTTCAGCAGAGCTCGATCTTGTTATTCTTGGAGTAATTCAAAGTTCTTTGCATTGTGGTTACGTCAGCTTGTCAGGAAGAACAGAAAAACATTGCGAGCGGATAAGAATGGTATTCTTTTACCACGGTAGAAGGATTTGTAAAGAAACATTTTTATTTTTACATTCAGCCAGCCGAAAAAGGTTTTGTAGCCTTGTGAAACATTATAAGACAAATGGACTCACATTGCGAGTTCACGGAAAAAGTAAGCGTTTACCAAATAGCGCGTCTTCTGTCGAAACTGTGGAGAACGTTGTTAAATTCATTATGAACATTGCTGAGGAGAAAGCACTTATCCTCCCTGGACGTGTCCCTGGATTTAAAAGAGTGGATGTGAAACTTCTGCCATCTGTTTTAACAAAATACAGCTTGTGGAAAACACACGCAGGGATATGTGCGAGTCAATGTCACACCTCTGTCGGCTACTCTAAGTTTTGTGACTTATGGAATCAACTTTGCCCGTTTGTTTTGATCATGTGCCCGGCTATGGACCTGTGCTGGACATGTCAGAAAAAAAAACAATTTGATTCAAGAGACGGCGAATCTTCCGGAGGAACAAAAGGTAGCTGCTGTAATAGCACAGGAAGAACATCTTCGACTATCAGCGGGTGAAAGAGAACTGTACAAGAACTGCTGTAATCAGGCGAAAGACGACGTTCACCAAAGCGGGTTACCTCACTTACATGGGGTCCCCCACCTCCATGTAAACAGGCCCTTAAACCGCTAGAACGAAAATACACCAAAATTTCCTAGCATCGAAATATGATATTAAGCAGCATTCTGACACTACTTAAGAGTAATTTGAGTCATTTATAGCGTTTTTATTAAATAATCTCTCACGGCTATTGAAAATTTAAGAGTTTGAAATACATTTTCGTTTTAGTCGAATTCAAACATACAGAACTTCTCACTTCTTACATAGGTTATTTGCTAAACACCAAACTTTAATGTTGTCATAGTAATATCGATTTTACTAAAACCTACATTTTGACAAAATTCGATTCATTGATGAAAAATTTATAGCGATTAGACAAGAATAAAATCACTTTTAAAGCGATTGAAAAATATCGGTGTGGCCTCTGAAAAACTATATCAAAACACCTTAACTTTTAATGGTTCCTTTTGTTGACACTGGAACTAAGGGCCTGTTAACATGGAGGTAGGGGGCCCCAGGTAGGTGAGGTAACCCGCTCAGGTGGAGTAACCCGCCTGTCCATATAATCTCTCATTTTAATGTGATCACGTTTACATGTTAGGCGGGGTGACCCGCCACGTGTTACCACACCTGCCTGGAGTCCTGTAAACAGGCGCTAAAAGGGCTTTCTCTGATTCACCTACCCAATTATGAAAGCGGATCTCATTTATCACATCTCCAAGGAAAACACACATTTTCGCCCGCACTTCCTAGCCAACGGCTACCACTAATATACTTTTTCTTTTAAGCCTTAGTTTCAATTCTTTGACCTTTTTGCAACTAGTTAAAGGAAACCTTTCTCTTTTTCATTGTTACGTATCGTAAGGCGTTTGACAACTTACTGTCCTCGTCTGTGGTAACAATGATTGGATCGCTGGCATTTCCGTCTCCTCTCACAGTAGATGCAAACACCAAGATGCTATAGGTAGTGTATTCCTCCAAACTCCTGAGTGTGACGTGGGTGGTTGGAGCACTCACTACGGCCGTCCGTGGAATACCGCCAGCGAACGCCGTGTACGTCACCGTGTAACTAAGTATAATTCCATTTTGATCAGCCACAGGGACAGTGTCCCAGTTTACCCAAATACTGGTGGAGCTTATGACGTGTAATTGGACATTAACTGGTGGTGCCCTTGGTTCTACAACAACAAAATGCATTTTTATAATTTAAAAGATTCGCGCACCCGAATCACCAGTCAAGTTCGTTTGGCGCGGAATTGTTATTGTGATATCGTTCTTAAGGAACGATACACCCCCACAGTCCTCAAAAAATGAAGAAAGAATAAGAAATGTACAAAATTTAACTTTTACACTTTTTGTTTTAACTTTTAGCCACTTAAGCACCTTTTTGTAATTAATTAGAGGACATCCTCCTCTTTTTTATTGTTACGAATTGTAAGGCCTTTGACAACTTACTGTCCTCGTCTGTGGGGACAATGATTGCATCGCTGGCATTTCCATCTCCCTTTGCAGTAGATGCAAACACCAAGATGCTATAGTTTGTGTATTCCTCCAAACTGCTAAGTGTGACGTGAGTGGTTGGAGCACTCACTACGGCGGTCATTGGAATGCCGCCAGGGAACGCCATGTACGTCACCGTGTAAGTCAGTATAATTCCATTTTGATCAGCCACAGGAACAGTGTCCCAGTCTACCCAAATACTGGTTGAACTTGTGTTGTGTCCTTGGACGTTAACTGGTGGTGCGCTTGGTTCTATAACAATGAAATGCATTTTTGTAATTTAAAAGGTTCGCACACCCGACTCTCAGTCAAGTTTGTTTGTTTGGTAGAGTGATATTTTTCCTAAAGAGCGATAGACCCTTCTGTCTAAAAAAATGTCCAAAATCCTATCTTGTTATTTTTTTGTTTTAACGTTAAGCTAGTACTTTGACCTTTTTAGCGAAGCTCTGCGGGCTTCGAGATCAGAGCCCCATATGGTGAAGACAACGAGTGAGGTAAAAAACAACAGTAATAGAACTAATTTGAAAAAAACAGCTTTGCACGTACAGCACACTTTTTTTGTACTTTTCCTTGCCGTTGTTTTGCACGAGTAAAACATAAATTTCCAGTTTGTGTTCCTGTTCACATTGGCTTTTCACTGCCGCTCATTTTCACCTTAGTGGCCGCTAGCATTTCTCATTTTCGCACCGCCGCTATAAGATTTTCGTGTTTTTCTTCCAGCGAAATTGGTGTCAGTTGTTTTTGTTGTTGTTGTTGTTGTTGCTATATTACACCTTAAAAGTATTTTATTAGGCAACGCCACGCGTTGGTCACGCTGTACGTCCCATTCCTATCTCAGATTGGTCAAAATTTGACAGGTGAGTTCATGTGGACAATGTATGCACCATCTGGAAACTTTTTTACTGATAGACTCTAGCTGGAGCTAACAGAGTTGAGTGTCGTCTGATCTTATTGTGCTTTAACCGCCTTTTTAAACTGGATCTACGTAATAAAATACATGTGCTATCAAAAATCTTTTGTAATTTATGGCTGGCGTGTTTTGGGGGGGTTTTGGTCGAGAAATGCGCCGCTTGACAAAAAAGTATTCGGAAATCCCCCATTTCAAAAATAAGGTTCTCTCTGTACTTCACCTTGATGCGTAAAAGGGTTCAAAAGTCTTTTGCGATTCTGATCTTACTTGATGGCTTTCAGGAGCTGCACCTCGACTTAGCTTAAGCTTGAGTAATTATATTGCATCTGATGTTTTTTTTTTAGGTTTCATTAAGCCGAGCGTTTTTTATGCCGTCACTTTGCGCACGTTTGTAAGATTTCAGACAATGATCTAACCTAGTACAGAACCTCAAACGTCTTTAGACATTTTCTGACCGCGACTAGAAAGAAAACGTTCTGAAGAATATTTAGTTATCATATTGGTTGTAAAAAGAATGCTTTGAAGATATTTTTTGCCTCAAGTTCATATTAACTTAAATCTGCAAGGTTTTATTCATGACTCAAGATTTTCAGGTACACNACTAGAAAGAAAACGTTCTGAAGAATATTTAGTTATCATATTGGTTGTAAAAAGAATGCTTTGAAGATATTTTTTGCCTCAAGTTCATATTAACTTAAATCTGCAAGGTTTTATTCATGACTCAAGATTTTCAGGTACACGTCACTCTGAAATCATGTCTTCGTGAATAATAATTGTTGTCCTTTAAATGTTTCATTGACTTATATATCCTGTCTTGATTTTTTTTTAAATCTCTTTCTTATCGCTTTGCCGGGTTGTTTTTAGCCGTACAAGAATCGCATGCAGGAGTACTCAAAATGCTGCGTGTATGAATAGTGTAAAAGATTCTTGTGTTTTAGAAGCAAAATGCGGAACTAAAATTATTCCGAGACCTCTTCCTACCAGGTGTGCTTGATTTTTTAAATAAATAATTCTTTTATGTCGAAGTGTAATTCTCCGGGTACTGTTTATTCAAACATCAGCCAGCCCGCATTGGAAGTTTGTCGCTTGGCAAAATTGTGAAAATTCAGGAGTGACTGACCAAACGGGTGATTTTGGAAATTGAATTAAAATAAGAGTTTTCGAAAGTTTTTGCTCAAAGCCCATGATTACCCTTATTTCTACACAAAGGCAGATTGACCTGACTGAACAGTTCCTTGTAAAAGTGAAGTCTCTATATAAAAGCGTTTTATAGCTTGTTGTGCAAGGGAAGCACGTTCTTTGATCGTTCTGAATATTGAATGAATCTCTGTCCGAGGTCTGAACGATAAACAAAGATCACGACTGATAGTTCTGTATACCTCGCAGAGGTGATGAAGGCTAGTTAATACGCGCTACCAGATTTGTAATGTAAATTCGTAGCGAGTCACACACAAAAAATTCATTTTGGCCTTTCTCTTAGACAGAGAGATAAAACCGAAAAGGCAGAACGTGTAAATTGTCTGCCATCGAGGAGTATCGTTTCTTAACGGCCTTTATAGCATAAAATTATATTTCGGGACTGTCCAATTACCCTTATAAAATAAAGGTGGTGTAGGTGGGCAAATAGGTTATTTTGCTTGGGAGTAATTTGTTTTTCTCGCCTAATCTACTGTGATCAAAGCTTTTTGCTATTTTTTAGGTGTACATTTAAGACTATTAACTCGCATCGATGTAAGATTTTAGACGTTGTTTCACGTTTGTGCTGTTTACAAATTATTTCTTCTCTAAAATCATCCAGCCCCACCCTTTAAAGTCATATGGATCTCTCCAGTTGACTGATTTGTGGATAATTACAATTGTTTGATTTAAATTATAAATTTATTAATTGGAGCTACGCGTTTAGCCCTGGCCAAATCTATATATTATAACTACCAAGAGCACGCATTCCTTTATTTATTGTTAAGTATCGTAAGGCCTTTGGCAACTTACTGTCCTCGTCTTTAGTAACAATGATTGGATCGCTCGTATTTCCGTCTCCTTTTACAGTAGATGCAAACACGAGGATGCTATAGTTTGCGTATTCCTCCAAACTTCAACGTTTCAACGTTTACCTACTCCTCTTTTTAGTATTAAGTATCGTAAGGACTTTGGCAACTTACTGTCCTCGTCTGTGGTAACAATGATTGGATCGCTGGCATTTCCGTCTCCCTTCACAGTAGATGCAAACACCAAGATGCTATAGTTTGTGTATTCCTCCAAACTTTTAAGTGTAACGTGGGTGGTTGGAGCTTTCACTATGGCCGTCCGTAGAATACCACCAGGGAACGCCGTGTACATCACCGTGTAAGTCAAAACAATTCCATTTTGATCAGCCACAGGAACAGTGTCCCAGTTTACCCAAATACTGTTCGAGCTTGTGTTGTGTCCTTGGACATTAACTGGTGGTGCGTTTGGTTCTAAAAGAACAAAATGAATTTTTATAAGTCAAAAGATTCGCACATCCAACTCTCCAGTTAAGTTTGTTTTGCGTGGAATGGTCAGTGTTAGAGTGATATTCTTCCTTAAGAGCGATACACCCCACTGTCTTAAAAGAACGAATAAATCGAAAAATCAATTTATAAATGTACGAAATTATTGTATACTTTTTTTTGAATGTGTAGCTTACTTATGTCTTTTTTATTACTAATAAGAGGACATAATAAACGATGATTCAATTTATAGGATAGAAGAAATTTTTTTTACACACAAGCTTTCTATTTTATCGCGGAATCTTTTCTAATTGATGGATTTGGGCGTTTTGTCGCGTGATTTATACTGTGAATAACACTATGATCGGAAATAGATCGTGTAATCTGGTCATGCGACCATAGCTTCATTGGCATAAATTTGGTGGGATGGTGGTTAACGAAGGCGTCTTCGTGTAATTTGGTGGGTTAACAGGAATGTGAGTTCTGTTAACCCATCCTTTTACATTGGGAAAGCCCGCTATGTCTCTGAATCTAGCTGCAACATTGAATGGGTTATCAGTCCATCAAATTAACTCTCCTCGCTTAAAGGTCTGAACATTGCCGAAACAACGCAGAATGAGACATCACAACATGAGTGCATAACCTGATAGATTGAATTTGCTCCAAGGAAAAGAAAAAATATCAGAATTTATTTTTTATCTTGCAGTTAAAGCTCTGTTGCGCCTCGTTTCTTGATCAACATGCGGCCCTGTTAATAAAGGTATGTACCAGGAAAAGAAACTTCTGTCGGAATTCCGTTAGATTTTCGATTTCTAGTAGTCGTATTTTTGCAAAAGTTTGTGGTTGGCGAACTATTCGACATATTAAAAGTTCATCAAGTTCTTCTTCACTGCAGAAATACATAGACTAACTTTTGTGCCATTTTTTCAATGAGCTTCCTCGATGTTTTCAGGTGACTTGCGACTTGTAACTTACACTTGTGATTTACAAGTTGAGCTCTTGTATACTATAAGCTAGTCATACTTCCGCAGAAGCTTTGTTAAATCAAATACTTACGGTATCGTATACAAGTGTGGAGCTACACTTGTAACTACAAGCGAAGATGGGCTCTTGTTATTTGTACTGGTAACTTCCTTTACTAAAATTGTTTCCCCTAGGTTTGTACGAACAACGGTCCGACTTGTAAATTACGCCTGTAAAACTTTTACCGAATTAGACTTGTAAAATCTTTACCCTATAGACCTCTGCAGACCTTTTTTTTTTTCAATAACGTTAGTTGCGAAACTTATAAACATGTTTTTTTACTAGCTGAAATTAGCTTCCGACCATGTACGAGGACACTATTAACTACTCACCATCTTCGTCTGTGAGGACTATGATAGGTAGGCTGATATTTCCATCTCCCTGTGCATTAGAGGCAAAGACCGTAATGCTATAGTTTCTGTATTTTGTCAGACCGGTCAGGCTGGTTTGAGTGGTTGGAGCACTCACTACGGCCGTCTTTGGACTGCCGTTAGGTAATGCCGTGTATGTCACCGTGTAACTCAGTATAATTCCATTCTGATCAGCGAGAGGAACATTTTCCCAATCTATCCAAACACTGGTAGAGCTTGTGTTGTGTCCTCGGACATTAGCTGGTGGTGCGCTTGGTGCTGTAAGGAAAAATCCCACATTGATAAATCGATATTTTTACACACAGAATTCTCCAATCACATTTATTCTGCCCAGAATAATTACTGTTAGAGTGAATTTATTCTTAATAGCAATACGCACGTAGTGCACAGCAACTGTATTAACTACATAAATTTAGTAAGGAATAGTGTTGAACACCAGTGCAAAAACCTCACCAAAATGGTTTTTACTACTTACGGCCAAGTGCAACCTGTGTGTATGTTGCTTTAAATCCGCGGCGCGTTATAGAACCATCAGTGACAAGACGTACTATCAACGTTTCCCGGTAAGAAGCGAAAGTCGAGTTGCTAGTTAGCGTCCCACATAATCGCCCAGGAGGCACACCAATACCATGTAAGAAACCATTTTGAATTTGTATATAGTCTTTGCCACAATTACTTCCACCGAGTTCTATGTCCATGTCTGTAATGACCAACTTCACGCGTTTTCCGCTACTTGCTGTGATTTTCCAGCTGCATGTCTGGCCATTACCATAATATCCTGGGTAAAATGGACTTTTGATGATTCCTGAAGTCCCTGTCAGGATTGCCATATTTGGACATGCTGTAAGATAAAACAGCTCATTGCTTCAATGCATGAAAAATCAAAGAATGACTGATACATTTCATCTTGATATAAAGATAGAAACACTCGTCACACACGCGCACGGTGAGGAAGCCCTGATAACGCCTGCGTAGAAGGCAGCACGCACGTGAGACAGGAAAAAGCTAACGTCTGAGGGGACTCTAACTCATGACACCCACACGAGTGATCCGCGTTTGACTTCAACTTCAATTTTAGCTAGAAGGTAACGAGATTTCTGCGCATGACATCAACGGTACCGGTGTTAGTGTATTCCCGACTTCCTACTTATGAGACTCCTCTTCCCAAAAGATGTTAAACCACGCGCACTATACTAGTTTCAATCGAGTTTTGAAATTGGCAGAGAAAATATGTCCTGTGCAGCCTCTTATTGTACGTGAAGGTAAGAAAATTGGCGACCGTTTTCGGGAAGACTCGCTGAACGTTATTATAGTGAAATTCGTTGTATCGCGCTGTGCGTTTTGCATGTTTTGGGTTTTTTCTGTTATCATCTTAGCGGACCTCTTAGGAAATTCATGTTCACTTGCACAAGTTCACTAGGTCATGGTTTGTGATTCTTGATTTTTATTGGTGTATCTCGATCCGTTTTGTTTGTCACGTGTTTCAAGGTTCGTTGCTTTGTGAACGTCCTGTTTCGGGCAATAATCGACAAGTTAAGTTTGCTTCGCAGATTTTTATGATCTTTCTCATTCTTGTCACTTGCCAGAATAAAGCAACGTCGGCTTCCTTTTTTCGACAAAAAATCCACTTACGATTGTGATTCCCTTCGCTATTCTTGAGCAGTCTAGAGTCATTCCCAGCCAAGCTGGGCGAGCACGTTACGCGATACAACGAATTTCGCTGTAAGAAGAAAATTGGCTCGGCCATAGGCTGTTTCCAGAACAAGACGACGCGAGGAGTTGCGCTTCATCCTCAACTTAGGCACTTTATCGCCAGCTGGCCTCAATGATGTGTTCGCTTTTATATATGTGACATGCGCTCGCGCTCTGCCTTGAACGGATTGGCGCATATCTCCCTGAAAGCAGTATTGCCTAAAAACTGTAGTCTCAAAAGAGTTTGATCTACAATTTATGGTTAAGTTCAATAAAATATCCAGACCAGCCTCAACAAGCTATTAAAGAACTGGTCTTTTCCTTTTATAAATGGACAGTCATGGGCAAATCTCAAAACAAGGATTTTGCTACTTACGGCCAGGGACGACCTGTGTGTATGTTGCTTTAAATCCGGGGCGCGGACCGGAACTATCAGTGACAAAACGTACAATCAAAGTTTCACGGTAAGAAGCAAAAATCGAGTTTCTATGGTGTGTCCCACATAATCGTCCTTGAGACAAACCACTACCATATAAGAAACCATTTTGGATTTGTAAATAATCTTTGCCACAATTACTTCCACCCTGTTCTATGTCCATGTCGTTAATGACCAACTTGACGCGTTTTCCGCTACTTGCTGTGATTTTCCAGCTGCACGCCTGGTCTTTACCATAATTTCCTGGATAAAAAGGACTTGTGATGACGCCTGACGTCCCTGTCAGGGTCGCCATATTTGGGCACGCTGTATGACAAAACAAATCATTGAATCAAAAATCAAAGGAAAGATGACACACTTTTTCTTGAAATAGAAGAAAACGCTCTCCTTATCATGTGCGTTAGCCTCTTATTTCTTACTACACAGATATTCTTAGGGCTCCGCAACGCGTTCGTTCCCCACGAACTTTCGTGGCGAGAAAACGCGTGATGAGGCCCTTAGGAGGAGGCTCCATGGGAGGCTGTATGGGTGTGAAACAACGTAAAAAGCTAACAACCTCACGAGACTCGAACTCATGACACCCATAAAACTGGCCCACCCTCGTACTGGTCATTGAAGTTGAGCGCTACCCATGGTGAGGTAATTTTAGTCTACACAACTGTAGTTGAAATAATAAATCACCATACTTGACTTTTACATGTTACTGTGGCGAAAACGTGTTTCCTTCTTTGTATTTCTTTTACTTTTGTAATCCGAGTGTTTGACATTGCGTTCGTCTTATCTTGTCCCACGTAGATTAGCTTAATAGCTATTTTCAAAATGCGACCGAGTTGGGAATTATTTGAGATTTTCGATTTCAACGGTCCGCGGGCCTAAAATTAGCCGCCTGGCACGGAAAAATACCGTAAAATTCCGAAAAAAAGCCCTTCCATGTGTAAGCCCCTCCAAATATAAGCCCCCTAAACTCCTAACGCAAAAAAACTCTCCGTTAAATCACCCCTCTAAGTATAAGCCCCGCGGGGTTTGTACTTGGAAAATTGCCCTCAGAAACAGAGTAAAACAAAGCAAAAACGGTAAATTTACTTCCAACTATATGGCTAGCCCAATCGATTTTGACACACAAATTTCCCTCCGTAGATAAGCCCCTCCGAATAAAAGCCCCTCCAAAAATAACCCCTCAAAAAAGGGCTTTTCAAAAATACAAGCCCCGGGGCTTATTTTTGGAGGGATGATTTAACGGAGGGTTTTTGCGTTAACCGTTTGGGGGGCTTATGTTTCTGGGCATTCGCTCTTAATTTGGACGCCCACCACCCCAAATTAAACACACCATTAAACGACATGCATCTTGCCAAACAATGAAAGCACCATATCAAATAACTAGCTGTTATGAAAGATGATAAAATAAGCGAAAAACATACCTTTATTATAAAGCCTATGAAAAACAAAAGAAACCAAAATACGCTGTTGCAGATGTGGTTTCTTCTTTCAAAACATTGTGTTCGCAAAAATGGGAAAGCATTGGACCAACAAGTGTTTAGAGCAGATCAGGTAAGGCTGTTATTACTTACCGTTACGTAGGATTGTGTAGGTTGCCCTAAATCCACGGTATGTTACACTGCCATCTGTGTGGAAATACACTATCAGGTTCTCACGGGATGAAATAAAGGTCATTGTTCCGCTGAATGAACTAATTGGCCCAGGATTTGAACTGCTGCTCTGTAAGTAACCATTTTGAATTTCTATATAGTCCCAGCCAGCTTCTATTGACGCACCATGAATGACCAACTTTACTCGATCTCCTGAATTTCCTGTGATTTTCCATCTGCATCTATGGTTATTGCCATAATTGCCGGGGTAATAAGGACTTGTGATGACACCTGACGACCCTCGCAGGACTTGCATATTTGGACATGCTAGAGAACGTAATAGCAACTTCCGTTTTGGGAAAGATAAAACACTTATCGCTTTACGAGGGAGGAAAAAAACTGGTCCCTGCATAAAAGGTTGATAACGTTGTCCACCGGATAGCGCAATTAGTTTTTCATACTGGATAGTAATTTATCCGGTGGATACAAGGCTATTCAGCTTTTGAGTGACTGCGGCCTGTAAGCCAAACTGGATTCAAACCCACCACTTCCTCCAATACTAGTTAGGCACTTAAATTATCGACGATTGTACCCATAGTGATGATGAGGAATGATTAGTTGGAAAATGGTATACTCGAGCCATAGAAGGCCCATAAAACAGGAACGTGATTTAGTTTCTTTGCATGAAAATACAACCGGCATAATGGCAATTCTCCCTGGGCGGGAAAATGATTAATGACCCCGAAGGCTTACTGTTTACAATAAATGTTGCAGTGATTACACTTACGCTACTTACAGACTTCGAAGCCACACCCAAGCGAGCAATAAAAGGAGTAAAATAATGTCATAGTGAATTGACACCGTCCTTCTGATTGCCCTTTGTCTGCTTCATGGCGCCTCCTTCGGATGTTTCTTTTTTTCTCCGTCCTTCCTTCTCTCTCCTGTCACGGGTCTGTATCTTTCGTTTGAGAGAGGCTACCAGACTGCTCATTATGCAACCACATGCTAAAACGCGGTGACAACGCTAAACGCGTAGAGTATTGACTACACTAAACGAACCAAATCAGGGCATAAAGTAGCCTGATCCTGATCCTGATTCTCCAGGTCGCTCGAGGCGGAATGCATAGAAAGAGTGTATCACCGCGAGCAACCTGGAGCGTCTAAGAATCAGGATTGGCTTAAAGCTCTTAGTCTTGTAGTGGAAACATAACGATACACTGGATATTGCGGGCTATAGGCAGTATCAGATGTATCTCAGTTATTCTACCCCTCTTACAGCTGATTTCATTACTATGTATACACCCGGATTTTCAGACATGATTCGACGGTCATGTGATTCGACACTAATCACTTGACGTATGGCTTCGCAGTATACGCCAACGGTTGCAAAAATTAAGACAGGCGAGAGTTCTGCCGTGGGATCCGAAACAGTCAGCTGAACAGTGAGAGAAACATCTGGCTGGCAAGGAAAGCTTAACGGCAAAAGACATAAGTGTAATGAAGCTAGAATCCCGAAAAATGCGTTTTACCTGAAGAGGAAAGCTTTATTGCGTGGAAAGCGGCGACATGCTACAGCATGATAATTAGCAATTATTGAATGAGGCTGAGTAGGATATGGAGAATTCTGCAGATTGAGAAGGGTGTGACCGTGTCCGAGGTGGATAACACCCTCCGAGATCTGCAGAATTCTTCATATTTCATATCCTACGAGAGCCGAATTCAATAATTGTTTTATTATTCCTTCAAAATAATTCAAAGTATAAAAACAAGCTATAAAATGCTAACCTAGGTCGATGTAAGTTTATATCGATAATGCATCTTTATCGAGAAGTTTAGGAGATTAAGGTCTGTTCAGGTTTGCAACTTTACTCCAAATAGCAGATGTTTTCCGTCGAGTTGTCTTGTTGCTGTTCTTGCGATGTTTTTAGTCAATATTTCGCCGTGAAATGAGTAAAATGTTCGACGACAGTTCCGCCAGTTTCCGCTAACTACCAAAACAACTCAACCTCGTCCCCAGGTTTTCTCGGTCAACAGTTCAAAAACCTGTAACAAGACTACACTTATGACGTCATTTTGACGTCATCGGTTCAATCTGATAAAATTCTTTCCAAATTTGGTCAACAGCTGCTGGTTATGGTGAAGTATGCGCGTGGTTTTAACTAATCAGAAACAAGGAAATATTTTGAATGAATAATAACATGAGTTAAACCTGGCCGGAATTCGATTGCTGAGTTCGAATGTATTTCTGTAGGCGATTTCATAATGGACGAAATATTATCAATACGGCAAAAAGCGAAATAGTTCGATGTTTTATTGTTTAGTCTTCTTCCGTATGACAAGGTTTCGGTATTTTGGCGTTGGACAATGCCCGCAATTTAAATGTAATAGTGATGTAAATTTACATTTGTAGTTAACAGGGAGTCAAAGTTGTATTTCCTGAAGTTGGCACTTTCTCGTCCTAATTTAGCGTCGGCATGGTTAAAACATAACAGGAAGACTTGACGTTTTGCAGAAGAAATCAACCGATAAATTGATCAGTCTGCCGCTGTGAACGAATTTGCTTGAAAGTTTTGTTTTGTCGACCCCAGAAAAATATCACGGTCCTCGAACTATGACCCTAGTGAGCTCAAATTAAGACAACCTTACATAAAAAAAAAAAAAAATCAACATTAGTTTTTATTGAAAAAGGGTTTAACATAATATTTGTTTAAAGATCAAAGTAGAAGTTTAATAAGTATTGCGATTAGATTGCGTGACTTGTGCGATAGACAAATGTCTGAAAAGGATAAAAAATTATGGATCACGATCTTCTTTTACTGAATCACAAAAGTAACATTCAAGCTATAATCATCAAAGTAAACTTCAGAATGTGTGCTTTGATTTCGGTAGGATATTCAAGGTAAAATACTGTACTGCTTGGTAACCTCTCGGTCGAAATATGTCTAAAAATACTCTATACACAGCACTGAAATCGGCTGTAATATCTAACAATGATAGTATCCGATATAATAATATCAATAAATTAAAGAATTGAGTTTCCCAATAAGTACTCACAGTAAGCATTCACTCCAACAATCATTTGTGCTGCAATACAACATAAATTTGTCTCAGATAAAGTGTTGGTAGAATATGAAACTGATTTTTAAAAATAGTTGATAAAATGTGTTAAAATATACCGTCAGGTTATGGCAAGCCTAAAGACGGAACATTCAAAGAAAACTGCTTATCCTCATAAAGCTCTTACTTACTAAGTTTGACCCGATCTTGCAATATTAAAGTCTGTGAAATTATCTTTATTCACCATTTCCAATTTACTCAGTTTGTGGCCTGGGTTTAATGCGGTTAACCAAAAAAAAGTTTTCACTAGATTGCCTAGGACGGTTCTTCTTACAAAACGATTCTGAAACACAGGCGCTTCTCCTCACTCTTTAAGCGACCGCTCTGAGGTAATGAACGTTTTATAGGACAATTCGTTACTTGAGGAGGGAATTCCACGTTAAATTGCACGCGAAAACCGATATCGCGATGAGTGCGATATCGGTTTTCAAGTGCAATTTTTTGTGGAATTCACGAGTCAGGTAATGGATTTTCCTTGAATCGCATAATTGAATAAAAATCAGAAAAAAAAAGAAAACATCATTAATATTGTTTGTTTTTATTATGAGCGCGCACTACAGAAAGCCATTTCAAAGTCAAATGTCAGAACTGTCATTGCGTTAGCGAATAGGAAGCAAGGTCAGTCGTACACGTTTGAACCTTCGACAACTTTTTTTGTTCCTTGTGCTTGTTTTTACACTTGTTTTCAAACTTTTTTACATGTAAACAAGCTTCACACTAATCGTAAGGATAAATAGAGGTATTTCACTGAATTTACAAGCCGTTTATCTAAAACATCTTTTTTCAAATTGGTCATTTGCTCGAGAAGGAAAATAATTTACACCTTTTACCTCTTCGGCGGCAAAACTGAAAGAAATGAAGTGTCCAAGCGAAAGCACTGAAAGTTTAAAGTCGCTATTGATTTAAGGTAAGTACCTTGAATTGTTTTAGAAATGCTGTTCAAGCTCGGCTCTGTTTCGTACTTTTCTAAGTACCACGATTCAGGATGATTGCAAGCGGCGTACTCTTTTTCGTGTTTTCAGGGGCCATGTCCTCTTTGAAGGTATTCATTTCTCCTTCTCTATATGTGACAATCGACCCTGGCACTTCCTCCGTTGTCGTTTCTCCGTTTTGTTTGTTCGAACTTTGGCTTGCATTTTCTGGGCCGTGTTCACAGGATTTTCTTGTTTTCTCGTTGTCGCGTGCGAAAGAGGTTTTTTTATGCCTCTCCGAGAATTTGTAGTTCAGTTCAAAACAAGGAAGAACCTCCGGCTCACTTTAAAAAACGCTTTTGTTTGTTTTTAACTCTTCAAAAGGTGACAATGCTTTTGAAAACATTTTAAAATGATATTGTAGAAAACCTTTTTTGCAGTTGTTATGTTAGAATTTGACGATAAATGTTACGTAGATGCGAAACAATATCGCTTAGCCTCGTTTTCAACTCGCAATTCCACACTAAATACCTCGCTTCGTTAACCAATCAGAATGCGAGATTTTACTCAATTATGCGATTCTAACATAAACTGGATTTAATACTTACAAAGAGTCAGGGCAAGCAAGGCTAGTAGAACTGTTGTGCTATCCATTCCCAATTAAGCACTCTATGAATATCAAAAAGGAAGATAATAGCAAAATTTTGACTCAGGTTTTATTTTCTAAATACGAAATGTTCAAGAAAGCAACTTTTATCAAATTCATTTGCTGTGCATTACGGAATGAACTACGTGAAAATTTCGTCAGTAAGTGAGCACTTTGGAATGAAAATCACAGTAATATTCAAAACCTTGAGTATCATTGACTAAAAACTTATAGAAATAACATACTAGGTATAATCTAACTAAAGCAAAAATGATGCCCTGCATTTCCCTTCCAAGTCCATCATATTATAACGAAACAAAACACGAAAGTTTCCTTAACGTCCGATATCGGAGAAACTTTCCTTCCACATTTCAGTCTGCTGTAAAGAATGGTAGGGAATTTCTTTGATGATTTCGTTTTCAAAGACTGATCTACTTAACAATTATTCCACGAGTGCGCGTTGGATATGAGATGGTATATAGCCAACGAGGCGAGTAGCGCCATTGGAATAATTGTTTTATGAAAGATTCCCCCAAAATATCGAGAATTCTTCCCGACTTTATTTGTAAAACAACCGATTTTAAGCTTGTTTTTAATTTTGAGCAGACGCGTACAGTTACCATATTTGGAAAGCGTGGTATA